TATATACAAAATCAGTGATTGTTAAGAATAAAATGAAAGATTAATTTTTCAAGTCTGTGGGTTGAATAATAAAAGATATAAAAATAAATAAAATAATAAATTGAAATTATACTTGGTATTTCTTATTTCAAAAAGGGTGATTGTATAAAATTTAAACAAAGGAAATGAATGATATTATTAAAAGGCATAAACTATAAAAAAAGATTTAAAAAACATTTTTATATTAAAATAAAATAAACATATTTAAAGAGAGAAACAAATATTTACCAAAGCACAAGGACTATCAAAAAAAAATACCTCTTACTACAATCAATAAAGGCATCAGTAACAATGACATAAAACAAAACCCTATAAATTGATAGTAAAATAATGTATACCAAAATAACCGAATTCATAAGAAGGTAATAAAAAATATAAAAAAGGATATAGGGCCATTTGTTTAATCCAATTAATATAATGTGGTAGGTGAATCAGAAAAAATAACCTGTGATGAGGAAGAGAACTGGACTAAAAGAAGCCCCATCAGGACAAAATGAAATAGAATATTCGACCGAAACTGACAAATATATTTTATTTTTGTTTTGTTCTTATTTTTCATTTCATAAATAAAAAAGTATTTTTTTACGAAAAGAATAGTGAACTTTTGATAAAATTTCAAAAAATAATAACACTAAATTTTAAGAAAATTTAGAAAAAACCCGAAAAAATAAGGAACTTAAAAAAAAGGATAGGAATAATAAAAAATAAAAGAAGAAATAAATTAGAAAATCTTAGAAACAAAAAAAGAATAAGAAAGGATGACAACCGCACGAGAACAATTAACTCAATTACAAAACACAATTTCTAAACTTCCTAAAGACAATCAAAATGTTTACCAAAAAATATTGGTTTTATTATCTGATTTTAATTCAAGACTTGAAAAATTAGAAGGATGTAAATCGTTAGAATCTAGTTCTGAAAGAGAAGAGAAATCTGCACCTCGCATTTCAATTACTGCCTCTACTAATTTTATCTCTTATTCTACATCTGAAATTCCTGAAATTAATTCTGACCTTTCTTTGTTAAGACAGTGGACAGGGAAACAAACTTTTAGATTATTATTTGATTCTAGCCGTGATGGATTGCTTCCAGCTGCATTTAATACTACAACATCTTTAATAACCAACATGATGGTCATCGTTATCTCATCAGACAATTATATATTTGGTACTTTTAATTCATATTCTGTTCCACCACCCCCAGTATCTTCTGATACAGCCTATATTGAAAAAGATCCTAATTACTTTGTCTTTTCATTGAAAAACCCACATGGAATTGTTCCAACCCGATTCTCACGTAAAAGACTTTCTACTACTTTAAGGATTTGCCCATCAGATGGAGATGTTGTTGTTGGTGCATCTGATTGTTTCAGTATTATTCCTAACAATTCTTATATTATCCCAACCTTTGGATCATATTATATTGATACAACAGGAAAAGGAGCTGATATTTTTGTTGGTAATCATTACCCATCAAGGTTCAGTGTTAAAAAGGTGTACGCTATTCAATGGGTTTAGGTTGTTTTTCACTCAAAAGATTTAGTTAGTAATTACATCTCACCCTTTCTTTTAACACCCTATTCTTTGGTTAAGATTTGGTAATAAAAGAACGATAATTGTATTATTATTTTTGATAAAATAAAACTAAAAGATTTTAATTGAGTAATTTGAGAATTTATTCCTAAACTCCCAACACGAACGTTTTAGCAGATTAGAACAAAAAGGAAGAGGATCTCTAATATCTCAAAAATTATTCATGACAACTAATTACTTCGAAGGTCACAACAGAATTATTGGTATGGTTCATGTCCACGCTCTCCCTGGAACACCTAACTACTCATCAAGTGCTGGAAGATGTAGAGCAATCATTGAAAAGGCTGTAGAAGAAGCTACCGTTTATCAGCAATGTGGCTTGGACACAATTATGATAGAAAACATGCATGATGTACCTTATTTAAACAGTACTGCTGGACCTGAAATTACTAGTGCCATGAGTATTGTTGGATATGAAATAAAACGACAATTAAATCTTAGAGTTGGTGTTCAAATTCTTGCTGCAGCAAATAAACAAGCAATGGCAGCTGCATTTTGTTCTGGATGTGATTTTATTAGAGCAGAAGGTTATGTTTTTGGTCATGTTGCTGATGAAGGTTATATTGATTCTAATGCAGGTGAATTATTAAGATACAGAAAGATGATTGGTGCTGAAGATGTATTAGTTTTTACTGATATTAAAAAGAAACATTCTGCCCATTCTATTACCTCAGATGTTAGTTTAATTGATACTGCAAAAACTGCACAGTATTTCCTTTCTGATGGTATTATTATTACAGGTACTTCTACTGGTGTTAAAACTGATCCACAAGAAGTTCGTGATGTAAAAAAATCAGTTTCTATCCCAGTCTTAGTTGGATCTGGAGTAACACCTGAAAATGTTAATGAATATTCTAGTGCTGATGCCCTCATTGTTGGTTCATATTTCAAAGTTGACGGATTCTGGAAAAATGAATTGAGTAAGGAAAGAATTCTCAAATTAATTTCTGCTGTCAATGAAAATTAATCTTTCAAATTCTTTTTGTGAATTGTTTGTTATTTTTTATGAATTTCTTTTATAAATTTTTTTGTTATATTAATTTCTCAATTTTTTTTTTCAAATTCTTACTTATGTAATAATATCTTTTACATTTTAAAGATAATAAAAGTTGAACCTAAGAAGAGATACTAGGATTTAAGTAAAACACAAAAACCTTGTTTTTTTATATTACAACTAATACCTTTTTTTTATAATAAAGTATGCCCGTTCTGTTCAAAACAGATAAAAAGAATCATTAATACTTTTATTCAAGATATTAA